TGTTTCTGATTTGCTAATGTTAATCCATAAGTACTAAGTATGATGTTTGTCTTGAAGTTTCTTGTGGTTATCGTTGAGGAATTCTCATTCGAAGTGTAATTGCCGTATGCTTTTCTGATTGGAATATTAAATTAAATATCGATAATATATTAGCAGAATTTTTGTGAGTGGCCATGTAATTTTCACACTTTGACGCACACTGTTCCAAGACTTTTCTTTTGTCCCACGGAATTCAAATACCACGCCTTTCCCATCAGCAAACTGCAGGGGAGGAAAAAAACAGAGGAAGACCTCTCTTTGCGAATAAGGGGATCTACTCTCCTTGGTGCTTATTTGGAATTGTGATAGGTTATTTTAAAAAAAAGTTTCAAATCATGAGGAGAGTTAAGTTCTACCTGCATGAATGTATTTGTATTGAGTAGTTTCAAACAAGTACTTTATTTATTATGAAACTTGAATAATGATCTTGTGACTAAATGACATGAGATCTGAAAAGTGGTGGATTTGATATCATTTGTGATGCAATGCAGTTAGTGCCTATCCTCTAAAAGTCATAATTTCTGGAGCATCATCTCTCCCCAGGCATCTATATACATTCCATGTTCACCTCGCATCACTATTGCCCTATTCTTAGCTGATTTTGACATGTTTTGTGAGACTTTATGGCCCTTCCTCCTCTGTCACTGTCGAATTTTCCTTTCAATCGGGTTCCCTTTCTTTCACCTACATTCTTCTCTAGCAGGACCAAATTCCTTGTATTCCATTTATATTCCACCCGGCGTTGTTAACTAACTTGCCCCATTTCTTGCCCAGATAACACACATTCCATTGTGGGGTCTGGTTTTGTTGTGGCAAAGTTGGTTTATATTTATGGGCCTGGATTAAGAACCAGCACAGATTTAAAATGACATTGGGTGAAATGGGCTTCTTTTTTGAGTTCAAAATTACCGTCAAGAGTAAATGGGCTTAGTCCAACTGTTATGGCTTATGCTTTCTGTCCTTATCGTCTGTTCATCTTCTCCGTTGTTTCTGCTCCCTCTCATATTTGGCCATGTGTTATTCGCAAACATAGTACGGGACATTAAACGAAACTATTTATGTTAGGGTTAATCCAAACTTTAGTCCTTCAAGTTTGTCTTTATTTTGATTTTGAACCCTCAAGTTTTAAATAATAAGTTTTGATCTCTCAAGTTTTTTTTTTATTTGAAACATTAGTCCCTATAATTTAATAAAAACTTGGATCATTTTGCCCTTAAGGGACTAAAATCTATAGTTTGAAATTTGAAGAATCAAAACCAAAATGAGGGCAAATTTGAGGGACTAAAGATTATATTAACACTTTATATTATTATAATATAATTTATCATATATATATATATATATCTATGAATGTAACTTTTCAGCCCAAAACTTTTTATGATATATAGTGATGAAATAATTTTAGCAATATTTATCATGATTTTGAAGTGTATATAATAATACAAAATGCAACAATTGATTTAAAAACCATGTTTTGTTTTATTTTTTTCCCTAAAGGGTTATTAGTTATTACAATAAAATTTTAAAAAAAAAAACCAGAGAAAGTAAGAAGAATAGCAATTTTTCCTAATCCTTTGATTTCTCCCACCAAAATAAGTCACCTTTCCTAATATAAATATGCCTAAAATTAGAAACATTATTTCCACATTATATATAAGTGCCACAGCTTCTCTTTACCTGAATCCCAAAACCCAGCAACATCATTAATTGCCGTAATTAATTAGAGATTATGACTTGTTGTGAGAGAAAGGGATGGTTGGGTTTGCGAAGTGCTGCGCTGTTAGGAGTAATATTAACATTAATGGTGTTGCAGAATATTGAAGGTGTAGAAGGAGAGCCTCAAGTGCCATGCCTATTCATATTTGGAGACTCTTTATCAGACAATGGAAACAATCATCTTCTTCGTACTTCTGCCAAAGCTAACTACTTCCCTTACGGCATCGACTTTCCCGACAGCCGCCCCACCGGAAGGTTCACCAATGGCCTCACTTCCATTGATTTTATTAGTACGTTACACCTCTCTCTCTATCTCCCTCTGAGTCATTTGCTTGTTTTATTAACGTAAGTTTAGAACAAACTAATTGCATTCTTATATAGTATTCTTCACAAATCGATGCAAAAGGTTCTCCTTAAACGACGTAGAAATTAAAGCCTTGCTTGTAATGGTGATTCTTTCTGTCTCTCTATTATAATCGATTCATTTAGTTCCTGTTTTGGGATTAGTCGTTGTGTTTTCAAGGCTGATCTCCCTATCTTATGGTTTATTTGTTGAATTAATGCTGAATTAGGAATAAAGTTTTCTCCTTTACCGGCATAATAGCCAACTACTATCTTCAGTCTTTAATATAAAACCTAATTTGATTTTCAGTTTGATCCTAAATATAAGACACTAATCAATTTTCTCTCATATTTATCCATATTTTGCAAGGTAATCCTTGTAGTAGTAACATGTTAAAGGTTTTATCAAATAGCAGTTCTAGCTAATACATATGATTAATGACCGTATTTTAGAGAAGATAATACTTACTTGTTATAAATAATACTCATCCAGTCCTTAATATAAGACCAATTTAACTAATTTGATTAGATTAAGGAAGTTAGGTAAGTTAGTTAATTATAAGAAAAATGACACATTTTTCCTAAAACACCATAATCATCTTTCTTAATACCCCCCTCTTTCTTTTACTTGATTATGGTTGAGAGAATATCTATAAGGGTAATTTAGAGAAAATTGATAAATATGAGAAATGGGTCTTATATTTAGGATCAAAACCAACTCAAGAATTGAGTCATATATTAAGGACGGAGAGAGTAACACTTATTTGTTATAAATGAACTTAACTGATTTTCTTAATCTACTCGAATTAGTTAATTAACTCTTATATTAAAGGTCCCAGGCAGTATTTTTCAATTTAAAAATACATTTGGGGGGTGGAGGGATTAATTTTACAATTTCATCCTTCGCATAGACAAAATAAAATCATTGAAAAGGAATTGTTGTGAGGGAATCAAAATTGAGAGGTATCCTTTGATACGTCAAACATTTTTTTTTTAATCTTTTCGGTAGTAAAGTGGCAATGTTTTTCTTTTCTTTTTCATTTCCTTTTGGAAATGAGTGAACTGAATGAAGTGATTTTTTTTTATAATATCGATTATTTAATTAATTGAATGAAGTGTATTTTCAGGAACCAAAAAAGGGTATGATTTTCAATTAACTTTTTTCATATAACATTGTTTACGGACAGCTCAATTTCTGGGATTCGACCAGTTGATCCCTCCCTTCGCAAATACCATCGCTGACATATCCAGAGGTGTCAACTACGCCTCCGGTGCCGCCGGCATTCGCAACGAGACCGGAAAGCATCTCGTACGTACTTTCTTCCCTTGTCTTATTCCATTAATTAGAAACACACACACATCTTGTTCTTGACTAAGAGTGGGCTTTTTTGCTCTAATCCTTGCCCAGTCGTTTAAATCCCATTTCATGGATATTGAGTAGAACTTGTATCATGAGAATATATGTGCTTTATACGGATTAAAGTGTGAATTTGTATAGAAGAAAAGGAAATACAGTGATGAAGCGGTGGTTGGCATATATGTGCATGCAGGGATCTGATATAAGCTTGAGATTACAACTAACAAATCACAGAACAACAGTATCTCAAATCAGTGCTGGGTTTAATAAAAGTTCAGAGAAAGTAGAGCAGCTACTCAACAAGTGCTTGTATTATGTGAATATAGGTGCCAATGATTTCTTAAACAACTACTTCCTGCCCCAATACTACTCTACCAGCGCCACCTTACCCTTGAACAGTATGCTCTGATCTTGTCCAACAATATTCTCAAGTCGTCCAAGTAAGTACCTTCATTCTTTCATGTTATATTAGCTCCACTTATTCTTACTTTCAAACAACGATTGTGTTGCCAATGATCTTATAGCCTAATATAATGGTATAATAGCTTTCTTGTAAGTGGAAGGTTATGTGTTCGATCTTGCTTGTAATCCCAAGTGGGAGGTCATGTGTTTGATCCGCTTGTAATTTCAAGCCATTTGTGTATTTAAAAGAAATAAACTAATGACGATTGTGTGGTGTTGTGTTATACAGAATCTATATGATATTGGAGGAAGGAAGTTTGTGTTGGTGGGGGTGGGGTACATAGGGAGCACTCCAAGGGCACTAACAACACTTAAAACCAATAGTAGTACTGATGACATTAATAAAGCAGCTTTTCTCTTTAACGCCAACCTCAGATCTCAAGTTGATCACTTCAATAAGGCCCTCCCAAATGCCTCTTTCATCTTCATCAACAGTACTGCTTCCAAAATTGACCCTTCACTTGGTAATTTCTCCTAATTAATTAATTCTCTCTTTAATTTCTACATTTTTTGTTCCTAAACGACCCTTCACTACTTGCAGGATTCAAGGTTTTGGATTCTGGGTGCTGCCAAGTAGGGGAAAATGGGCAGTGTGTTGCTAACGTAAGGCCATGTGATAACAGGAAAGATTTTGTATTCTATGATTCATTTCATCCCACTCAAGCTGCCAACTTAATCACTGCACTTTCTTCATATAATGCTTCAATTCCTGCATATACTTATCCTATGGACATTTCCCACCTGGTTCGCTCCTAAATCTTCCATCTCTCTCGTTGTATATATATCTCAATCCCCAGCTGATAGGAGCAAACATGTCTTAGCTCTAATAAACAGTCCTAGACTTCAAAGTACACCCCCACCCCCAAGTACTAGGCATCTCCAATAACGTCAGTAATAATGACGTTTTTTTGTATCTTGTTTTGGTAGTTTGTGTGTGTGTGTGGGGGGGGGGGGGTGGGTGGATTATTAAAGCACTAAGGAGCTATATTTTTCCAAAGAATTTAATAACTTTAAGGAATTAATATAGCTAACCTTTGTGTCAATAAAAGACATGCAAGATGGGAATCAATAGACAAGGTATTTCAAACATGTCAAGCTGTCTTCTCCATATATCATGCTAAACACAAATTTAAGCAGCTTTCAGCATGAATACAGAATATTCAGTGCTATCATTAATGTCTACAAATAAAGCCAGTACATAGAGGTAACTAATACATCAAAATATATATCTTTCTCACACAATTCTGCTTATACATATATTTGTTGCGTTTAAGCTCTAGCATTCATCTGCCATCATTATGCCAAAATACAAGAAGCAGAAGTTCTTAAATATGTCACAAGTACATCACCTGCACATGAACATCCCAAGCAACAAGGGGAGAAAAGGAAACTTGATTAGCCTATTATGAAGCGAAAGATTTAATTACGTATTGTAAGTTTGTTTGACAACTAGCTTTTATAAATATATATATTTCTTTTTGGCTGAACAAGGAAGATAGAACAAAAGTAGATTTTAAAAATATATACGCATGGATTTGAAGGAAAAAATTTGTTAAGACGGAACTGTGTGCAATTTCACATATTATAGAGTTCTATATTGTGATACTGATTCCTCGTGTCATTGTTATATAAATACCGTCAAAATTTGACAGTGTTTTTTCAGCATTCGACATTGATTTTTAATAGTAAATTCTTTTCCTGATTGAAATGGTGAGATGCATAAATGAATATACACAGATGTACTAATATAAACTTACCAACATATAAATGTCAAAGAACTAATAATTTGGATATAAGTAAAGTAGAGAAAGATACGGACAAAGTAATGGCTTCCAACTATATGAGATCCTCTTGTGCAGACTTGGAACCAAATATTCTCGTCCTACTTCTCATTATACATTTAAGTACCTGAGAAGATCCGAATTTCCAAAACTGCTACTTCCTCCAGTCCTATTTCTAAGGCATTTGGAGGAGGGATTTTACAGTCTTCTTCTTTTCTTCTTCTAATAAATAATGCACCGCATTGGTTTTTTTATTGCAATTTTTCTCTTTTAAGTAAAACTTTTGAAAATTGCATTTAATATGGGAAAAAATAAATTTTTTTTAAATTTTTAGACAGACTCAAATGGGATCGGAGGGAGCATAGTATTAATGAGGGTAACAGTCTTTTATAAATGAAACTAAAAGATGGCAAATCAATATCTAATCATTCTCCACATAAAACCATCACAATTGTGCTGGAGATGAAGGAAAAGACAAAGGCAATATAAAAGAACACAAGACAACCACACACACACATATAGAAGAAGGAAAGGGATCATACACTAATTGAAGGGACATGTGGTCTTGGGGAGCGTAGTGATTAGTAGGTTGCAAACCAGTGACTTGGAAGAAGCCTCGTGAGTCAAACTGATGCTCATTTGGAGACTGCATTGCTTCATAGTTTGAGCCTCCAGGCAACACATTCATGTTATGTTGCTGCTGCTGCTGGTTTCTCTCACTCTCAGCTATCTAAAATATCATCATCGCCCCAATACGTGAATCATTCTTGGAAAAGGTTTCATATTTCTCTATTTTGATCATGCTTGTGAGTAGACAAATAGAGAGATATGCAAGTAAATGTATATATTTGTGTATATGTATGCATGAGCTAGGGGTGTCAGCTGCCCCCCTGCGCCTTATTTTTGGTGCCCTTTTCAAAAAAATTTGTGTGTCTTTTCATCATTAGATTCTATATAAAATGAGTGACATTTTGATATCTTATGCGGAAAAAATGATTCAATTCTCAATTTCTTTTTATGATTTTTCAAAGATTTAACATTCTAACTTAAAAAGAAACTAAACCGTTTGAAGTATTAAATATTTGAAAAAAAAAGGTTAAAAACGGAACCAATTTTTGCTTATATAAGATATTAAAATATCACTTATTTTATGTAGAATCTAATGACCAAAAAAATACTTGGGGAGAGCCCCAAAAATAAGGTGCAGCTGATGAGGCACAGCCGACATCCGTCCATTTATGTATAAATATACCTTAGCTCGAAGAAGCTGGTTGTTATTGTGCAAGTCTACCTCCTGCAGTTTAGAGTTGATGAATGAGACTTCGCAGAACAAATAATGTTGCAGAAAGGTGAAGACAAAACAAAAGGCGCTTGAAAGTTTCACAGCATAGAGTCTTATTGGCGCAGGAAATACACAGTTAGGGTTTGAGAGGATTCTTGTGCATACTACAGTATTGTGCTTACATTCAGAGGCAAGTAAAAGACTTACCCTTTTCTGCATGTACTCGATTTCTGCAAACAGAAGTTCATTCTGGTGCAAGTGTTTGGGAAGAAACGCCACAAGGGAAGAAGAAAAAGTCAGAAAAAAACTATAAAATCCACACATACAACAAGAGAAGACAAGAAAGAAAAAAGATCGTACCTTTTTGGAACGAATTCTGCTAATGCCTCTCTCTAACTTACCCTCCAAGTTTTTGAGTTCTCTAGCGTTCATTCCTGCCAGAGTCTCCCCCATCATTTGCCTGCCATTTTTGAAAGCATGACAAACAAGTGATTCAAGAGATCAAATATACTTCCTTCCTAACAACACTTTAGTCTTTGAAAGATATTGAGTTACAAACTTTAAACAACTAATTGTCAATTAGAGAAATAAAGTCAAGTTATATTGAGAGATCAAATTGAATAATATAGTAGTAAATTTAGTTTCACAGATAATTCAAGATACCTGTTGTTATTCCTCAGGTTACTGATTTGAGCACGCAGTTTGGCAGCTTCTTGCTGATAATACTGTACAATTGCAGCTGAAAGTTTCAGTCTATTCGCTAAAAAATAATAATTTAAGAAGCTGCCTCATAGGTGGACACAAAACTAATATATACTATATACATATACATACACATATATATATATATATAGGTAGAGATATTATAATATCTTTTAAAATATAGAACACCTGAGCGTTAGCTTCAGAAGTGGATCCAGCACCAGACGAATCTGAGCAAGCTTTCTTGTACCTCTCAATTGTTGCTTTCACACTGCAAAATACCACATTTCACTTTTGAAAGTATTTTGCTGATTTTAAAGTTCATTATTAAAACAAAAGAAACTTGATGGCGTTATGCTATCATCTCATCAAAATCTTCATAAGCATAATTATTCCATCTCGCATGCGAAAATCTAATTAAGGTTTGAATAAATTTGATACAATTAGTTGTTAAAACCACTTTGAAATTTCAGATGCTTAGCTCCCATGCATATAATTAGGTTTGCGTACGTTTGGATTGGAAAATAAAATAAAAAGCACAAATAAACCAAAATGTTAGCTACTTTAATTTGATAATACTATATCATGTTCTTAATATAAAAACTAGTTGGACTTTTAACTTAATTTTAAATCTAAAACTCTAATTTATTTTGTTTATCATATTATCCATGTTTTTTAAAGAAGTCCAAACACAAGGATTATTGAATTAAATAAAAATTGGGAATCTCTCGTTCCTAGAAACAAATAAATAAAAAAAGGAAAGAGAGATTAAAAGAGAAACCTGATAGATATGTTAATGGTCAAATCATCCAGTTTTCTCTCCCTGAAGACATTAACTCAACCTTAAAACCTAAAACCTAACATTTCTTCCAAAGTAACATCAATGACCTCACTATGACTGTGTCTCTGAACCACACATATCCAAAACGTCCCAAAAGAAAAAAAATCTGAGTCGATGTGATGTGAACAAATAAATAAATAAATAAATTATTCAAGAACAATAATAGATTTATGCGTGTTTCTACTTTTAGGGTTATGATTCTTATGATGATACCTTAGCATCGTCGAGCCACTGATTGGCTGCGCCTGCCACGCTGGCATAAAATCCCCCCAGTATGATTGGTTGACACCATTTCTAGAACTAGTTTTTTGCATCCTTATTTTACAGTGTGTAATGGTAATACCCTTAACCTCACTGTATTATCCACCTCGATCTAACACAGACTATACTCAAATATAATCCATTTTAAGACATCTATACATACACACACTGTGTCTGTGACTGTGAATTTACTGATTTTATGAAATAAAAAAATATTTATTTTTATTTTCCAAGGTCACTGTCAGCTGCTGCTAGAGGAGCAGTAATAAATCAGCTGTCTGCTCTCAGTTTTCGTACGTTTTCATTTCATTTTTGACTTCTCTGACTTTATTGCTCAGAAAGAAAAAAAAATATATCTTGCGTTTCATGCATTTGGAATTGAATTAAAATGAAACGTCTGAATATTAGTATTTAGTAGTTAGTAAATGGCAAATATTTTCCAAAATCCATTATTAGCTAATTAGCTAAATTAGTTAGTAATTGATAATTAATCATAAAAACCATTATCTAAATTTTAAAATATAATTTTGAATGATTTTAGTAGTTTCTTTTTTAATAGTTTGGTAGCATTTTTATACAAAAGAATACCAAAAAAGAACTGTTAGTTTTTTTGGCTTTCGAAGAAATTATTGCGATTTTTAATATTGTTTTGAGAAAATTGTTTAAAATGTTACTTAATCTAAGTTAAACGATTCCTAATTTATACGGAATCCAAATTTTTCAAAAATGTATTTTCGTCACATTAACACCAATAATATATTTTGTGAGTGCTTGATGGACTACATTTTAAAAGGGTTAAATTGCATCTAACACTCCGAAATATTTTTTTAGCTGCATTTAGAATCTCGAAGTATTTTGTAATGCATCTAGCACCTCAAAGTATTTTTTAGATATATCTAGCACTCTAAAGTATTTTCTTTGCCTTAATGCTGGATGCACCAAAAACATATTTTTGGGTGCTGAATGCACTTGAAAAAATACTTTGAGATACTGAATGCATCAAAAAATATTTCACTTTACTAAACGCACCTAAAAAAAAAATATTTCAAGATGCTAGATGCACAAAAAAATACTTTAGAGTGCTGAATGCACTTGAGAAAATAATTCAAAGTGTTGGATACACCTTAACCCATTTTAAAATGTAATCTATTTTTTATGTAATAAAAAATAATACATATTCTTTATTACAAGAGTATCTTGCTTTTAATTTAAGCATGGTAATAAAGCATTGACAAAACTAAGCTTGAAAAGCATTTAATGTTACGTCAATACGTCATACACAATAAACTTTGAAACTTCAATTTTATTAAATCAAACCATTTTATGTAAAAAAAAAAAAAGTTCGCACTTTTGCAAAAAAAAGAAATAAAAATCTAAAACTTCCAAACGCATCAAACACCACCATTATTACTTTGTGTCTCTATGTTTCCTGTTCTTTGAGTGAGTCCAAAACTTTCACAAAAATATCAACACACAGACTTTGAACAGTTGAAAAGCTCAGTAACTGATACCAACAATGGTGAAATTATGATGAAACCAGTTGTGACTCTCTTATTGGTTCGTCCCTCTTTCCTTTTCAGATTCACTGTCTTCGTAAAAGAACTTTTTTACTCCATGAGAACCAAAACGAGAAAGAAGAGAGAGAAAAATTTTCCAGAGATAAAAAAGGGTTAAGAGAAGAATGATGAAAGGAAAGGGAAGCAAGAAAACTCAGTAGTAAATAAGGGTTTGAGGGTTTATGACATTATATATACTCTTTTTTTTTTTTTGGCAGAAGTCAAGAACTGAGAGAGAAATGATGTGTGTGACGTGACCAAAGATTCTCTCGACCAAGAGACAAGCGAATCCTATACTCTAACTCCAGTGATCATGAGACCTATTTAAGAACCCTAACCAGAAAGCCAGAAATTATGCAATCAAACCAGAAACTACCAACTTTCTTGATCTTTCCTCTCTTGAAAAAGGGTTTCTCAGGTTTCAATTGGTTGGAAAGAAACCAGAAAAAGGAACTAAAGGGGTTTAGGTTTGGTGTTTCTTACTTGATTAAGTGTAACCTAATTCATCATCGCTGGAAGGAAAAAACCCTAATCTTTTGGGTTAAGTTTGACCCAGCTCGAAGCTACACGTGGGTGCAGGTGAGATTTGTGGAAACTTTTGATTAAAATAGCAAATCTATCAATCTAGGTATGGATCCGTCTTGGCTGATATTGAGAAAATCCCTACATAATCTAGACAAAACTAGCTTGCGTTGTTACATTTCAGCATCTACTAACCCTAAAAAACTATTCTTTTTTATTAAAAATTTGTTTTAGTTCTTTCGATTTGATGTTTTGACAACTTCTTGAAATTCTGCAGTACTGGCTGCTTGACCAATCTGGTGACAAGTGATGTGTTATTAAGGAATTGTCAAAGATGAAAGCTTAGGCCTTAGATTGAGAAAGAGAGAGAGAGAGAGAAAGAGGGGGAGAGAAGGGGATAGAGGAGGAAACTAGAAACAGAAACTTTTAACCATGGAGGAAATCAGGCTGATCTCACACTGGATTGCATACTAAACTTCCCAAATTTTTACCTTTTCACACTCTCAACTAAATAAACTTCTAAATCTATATGATCTGTTACACCAGATCTATGAATTCACCAAAACAAGAGCTTAAATAATGATCAGAAACGATACAAGGATTTTGGAAGGGGGGAGAGAAGTTCATCTTGCTTGCAGAAAACAGAACTATTTTCACACTTCACAGTATTTCTGATAAGCCCTTTATGAGATCCATTCAAGAAGAAAAAGAAATTTGAGCCCAGAGATTTTATATGACAGAAGGGGAAAGTGAAAAAAGGAAAAAAGATGAGAAAACCCGGAGAATTTGAAGATTGAAAGTTGAAACCCTAAGCATTTATGCAAGAGAAGTGTGTATATCTATACCTGTTATTAGCATATTCATAGAGGCGACCACGAGTGGAGAAGACGATGAGAGCGACCTCAGCATCACAAAGCACAGAGAGCTCATAAGCCTTCTTGAGGAGGCCATTTCTGCGCTTACAGAAAGTGACCTGGCGATTCGTGGTGTTCTCGATCCTCTTGATCTCAATCTTCCCTCTTCCCATCTTTCTCTGTGGAGATGATGAACCCGACATGGCTTGACCATTTGGGAACGCCATGGCTGAAATCAACCTCGCAAAAGCTAGCTGAATCAAAGTAAAGAAACCATCAACATCAGTAAAAGAAGAACCCCATATGCTCAAGATAGCTTTTTTCTTATCAAGAGAATCAGAAAAGGAACAAGTAGTGAAGAGAAGAAGGTATCAACAGTCTCATACTTGACAGTGAAATTTTCAAGCTAAATCAAGTGATTATTACTGTTTTACTCACTCAAGAAATTAAAAAGAATCTATTGGCAAAAGTAAAAGCCATGACTAAATTCTGGAGCTTTGAGCTAGTTTTATGGAGAATCTGAAAACTTGGCCGAGGATTAATTCTTCATTCTCTTTTCATAATATTCTGAAGCTTTAGTTTCAGTTTCAGCTAGTTTTTGCCTTACTAATTTGCCGCAATAACTTTCAAGCAGAATCAAGAGATCAATCGCTCTTAAAGTAAACTCACAGAAGAAAAGTATCGATTTTTGGGAAGTAAAAGCCATGACTAATTAAAACCCTGGATTTATGAGCTAGTTTTGGACAATCTCAAAAGAGGAAATATAAACATCGACAAACTTGGGTTAAGATTTTTCAACTTGTTTTCATGACAGTTTGCAATAATCTAACAGGGCTTGGGCTGCAAAAGGGGAGGGTTTTCATGCTCAAAAAGTTGGATTAACCCAAAAAAGTTGAAGCATTGGAAATGGGATTTCAAAGGATGTCTCAGTATTTTTCTTACTAACCTGGGGATAAGGAAAAACAGAAGCGATAAAAGAGTTACAAGGAGGAACACAGTTCTCAGGAACTGGGAAATTCTTTTCCTTCTTCTATCAGAACTGAAAGAGAATTCAGAAAACGAAGGCGAAGTGGCAAAAGAGAGAAAGGGTGTATATTTATATAAATAAATAAATAAAACCAACTTTTGATCAATAATTCATCAGAAACCATAAATATGGTCTGAACATCTCCATATTTCTCTTCTCCTTTTCCTCTCTTTACTTTTTCACCCTCCACAACTGGACCCTCAGGAATCAAAAGAGGAGGATAAATCTGGAATAAACTTAAGAATGACGCTTGGTTTAATCACAATATTATTTACTTGATTTGATTTTTCAAAGAAAGAAAATCATAAACGAAGGAGGATGGAATGGAAGGGCAAGAGAGAGGGAGGGGAGAGAGAGAGACAAAGAAAGGAACTTCTGAAAACGATTATTCATGAGGTGACAAAGACGTTGGGCTATATCTGCAAACGTCGCACCTAGAAGTGTATTCCACAACAGAAACCACTTTCCTGCTTTCTCTTTCTCTCACCATATTTCTTTCCAAACCCAGCTATATTACCTTATATAAAAGACACAACACACACCCACACACACATTGAGATTTAATGTAAATAATTAGAGGGTGGAGGAAAAGTCATAAAATTGAATTGAAAATATATATGTTGATGAAAATATCTATGAAAATGTAATAATGCTTTCAAAATTTTGAATAAACAAAAATTTCTAATTCATATATATATATATATATGCTTTAAAAGTCCAGCGGTTTTTTTTTTTTTTTTAAATTTGAACCATCTAAAATCTACAACCGCAAACTACGTTTATCTCTAACTAATTTGGATTGAGCCGAGTAGTATCCCATAGCTCAAATTTGATTGGGGTTCAATTTAGAGGGTATTTGCAATTAAGAAAAAGCATTTTTACAAAGTACTTTCACGTAAATAGAGACAAAACTGCTCTTACATATATAGTTCGTATATTGTTTGAAATCACGATTTAGTTTGTATCCGAACACCCCCTAGCTTCAGAATTATTAAGTTGAGAAAATAAAAAGTAGTACTTGATTGGGTTGAGGCGTGCTATTAGATTGTTAGTGAGTTTTTCTGTTCTTTTTTTTTTCCCCCGAAAAAAAGTAGTACATTTTTGCCATCTTAGTGTGATTTAAGTGTGAGGAAAAAGAATCTCACAAACTTTATATCTTAAGAATTTGAGTCAACAAGCAAGTAATGACTACCCTAATGATATGATTTTAACGTTTAGATGAAAGATTAAAGCATTAACTAATCTTGTGGTTTTGAGCGATCATGTTGGGCGTTACTAAAATTAAAGTAAAAAAAAAAAAAGAATTGTGATGATGGATTGTTCTTTTGGATTGTATTATTATGGAAACGGGGACTTAGTTAAATCATTGAGGAGTGTATCTTTATGAATTGGTGGTGACCCAAAATTGAAGGCAACTGCCATGTGACAACCAGTATCCTAATGTATAATTCATTTATGGTAATATTAAAACCAATTTTTAATTAACAATAACTTTCCTTTTTGTCACTCCATCTTTCTTATCTATCATTTACTTTCATTATTTTTTCCCATGTGTGTGCAGACACAGAAAGAGAGAGAGAGAGAGAGAGAGAGAGAGGGGATTAATTTATGTTTAAAAAACTTTATTTCACATTTGGGTTAAAAAATTGTTTTTCTTGAGCGTTCTTCGTTATGGCTTTATTTTCCTTTATCAACCTGGATTTTCAATTTCAATGAAGTCTTTATAGTTAAAAGCTACTTGGTTTGAAAATTCAGGAATGTCACTTAATCATACCAACGAAATTCTGTAGGGTTGTAAAATAATGCTTAACTAATTTTAGAAATGTTTTTCAGCCTACAGTTAGTAGCGACTTTTAGAGTAGCTGGAAAGACAACAAATAATTATTGTTGTTAAAATTATTTCAAAAACCATATGAATTATCCACTCAGAGCTCTCAATGTAACGTCAGAGAAGCTTCCTGGTTAATTTATTAATCTCCAATTAGGCTGGTTTATACTACCTCCAGTCCTTAATATAATATCTCGTTTGACAACACCTATTTATTAAAAATAACTAACTTTATTTATGTCCTTTATCTCTTCAAATTACTCAACTAGCTCTTGTAATTAGAACCGGAGGTAGTATTTTACACCGGTTGTTATGGGCGTGATGTCAAAAGGGTGATCAATGACATTTATCCACTAACATCACAAGGCAACTCAATTGAAATAGTCCATTCAATTTCCCAATCTATATATATAGGCTCCATAATTAGAAGACCTAAGTCAGTCCAAATTATTTGCCAACAAACAACAAAGCATCGAAACCACAAGTGAATAAACACATGCAAGTACCATCAAAGAGTATAAGGGAATGGAAAACATACACTAATATCTATAAATGATTAACTAATTGAATGATTAACAAGGTCATTTTTTTTGCCCCTAAGTAATTCCTATAGTAATTATACATGTTAAGAAGTTTTTATCAATAAATAGTTTCAATACGCATGATTAACAAGGTCACTTTAAGAAAGATAACATCTTTTTTTTTTTTACATATAACTAATATAATTCTACAAATTAGTTATCTAACTCTTATATTAAGGATCGGAGATATTATTATGCATTCTATATATAAATTTTTACAACACAAAGAAATTGATTATATAATATACCTAACAACTTTTTAGTGGAATATTTACTAAATCCAAATCTGACCTGGCAACACATTTATTTGAGCACAATGGTGGTTCTGGTAGAAAGGAGCAATGTTGTGTTGGGTAGTGAATAGAATTTGTTGTATTCATCAAATATGCCCCATCCCTCATTTGTGGCCTATGACTTGTCACTTTTCCTTTACCTGCCTAAGCTATTAATACACGTTAACCATCTAATAATCACAAGTACTTCTATGCAACAAGCTTCTGAAATGGACAATAAGAGGCAAGTTCAATAGGGAGAATTAGAACTAAGGACCTAAAGAAAATGTTACTTATTAATTGAAATATAGGAGGTTTGGTTAGAGGCAATTTAGTATTTATTTTTTGAGGTTCGATCCTAATTGTAGTTTTTAAATTCTCTCCAACAAATACCATTCTCTATGCTTTTTTTTTTTGTTATAGCTTTACCAGCTCAATAAAAGGCAATAACAATCCGTTCCAACTTGTTCACTAGATTTTACGTGGATCAAATCTATATATGAGAAAAGACTAATAAATTCTGTGAGAAAAGGATTTCTCAAAGAGCCCGTCAGACACTCAAAAGACTAGCAATTGCGAACGGATGGTTAAATAGGTTTCTTAAGCAACAATTGTCAATTGCACTCCAAATAGGTTTATACTTACAATTTAAATTTCAGGCTACAGTTGTGAACTACCCCTTCTCATTTTTATTATAAGAACTTCCAACATAATCCTCCAGTCTCAAATGTAAACTTTTTTGTAGTGTATGTAGTGCAATTTACACTACAAAATGAGTCTTACATTTAAAATGAGAGAATATTTTATACTACCTCCGGTCCTTAATATAAGACCTTATTTGACTTTTATTTTGGTTCTAAATATAAGATCCCAATCCACTTTGTCTCTCATATTATGAATTTTTTTTCAAGGTAATGCTTCTAACAATGATAGTTTTATCCAGTACACTTGATTAACAAGGATATTTTAGGAAAGACAATACTTATTTATTACAAATAACTAACATAACTTATTTTCTTAATCTCTTTAAATTAGTCAACTAGCTCTTATAATTAGGACCGGAGGTAGTAATACAACATGTTTTATCCAAAGTGTTTTTTTTTTTCAATTTAGTATCTTTAACTGATTGTAAAACTTCCTAATTACATGATTAAAAACACACAGTTAGGGTGTTAAAAAATCTTCATCGAGGGTAATTTTGATATTGATACTTCTATTGCTAAAAACACACAAACCTGCGTTTAAAGGGAAAAGAAAAAAAAGAAAAAAAAGCAGTTACGTGGAATAATAAAGACTTGCCAGACCTTGCTAACAAACGAAAATGTCACCTAATACTTTTTGAAAACATCATCCCATGTACATTTTTCTTAGTTAGGAGTTAGGACAATATATATATGCATGCACATATATGTATGTATGTGCATATATAGTCTAATTTTTAGTTAGGGTAACTATATATGTAGTCTAATTTTGATTTGTGTAAGATCATATCCTTGGTGTTTTGTTGCTAACTTGCTTTCTTAGGTTTAGCTTGAATTATTTCCAAGCCTGAGTGAGTGGGCTTGGTTTAGTAGTGTTAAAGATAAAATTACGTGCACATTACTCTTTGATCATCTTCCTATTTATATAATGGATAAAGGATCTAATATCACCATTTTGGCGATCTCAAGTGTCCTGCAGTGTCAACCATGTGATTAAATTAAATGTGAGTAATTACAAAATGAAATTTTTGGGTCCTTTTTTCATTTAATTTGTGCTTATTACTTGGTTTGAATATAATTTCTTCAAATGAATGAGCTTAGTTGATTAAGATGGATATATATCCTAAATATTAATATCTCAATCCCACTTTAATTTATTTCGCATATTTATTATTATTTTTAACTAATTTATATGACTTATAAACTAATATATAATATTATATTATACTTCTCCAGTCCTTAATATAGGACCTAATTGTTAAGTTGATTTTGGTCCTAAATATAATACCTATTTATCACCTTTTTCTAAATTACTCTTATAGATATTCTTTCAATCATAATCAAGTAGAAGAGGGAGGGACGATATTAAGAAAGATGATTATAGTATTTTAGGAAAAACATGTCATATTTCTTATAATTAACCAACATACCTAATTTTCTTAATCTAATCACATTAATTAAATAGGTCTTATATTAAGGACCGTAAGAGTATAATATAAGGATATTGTAAGGAGATTAACACTGACGCAAAAAAGAAAAAAAAACTTCCAAATATCCTTATAATCAATCACACTTTCAAGGCAAAATAATCTTAACCTTTATTATTGTCCCAT